AATATTTTGGTGGACGTCTTAAAATATAGTAGATTTTATAATTCCAATGGAAAAATAGTACCGATTTTTTTTTGTATGGGGAGTGATGCAGTCTAATGTACATACATGCATATATATCTATATATTAATACGCTAACATAAATTTTGTCTCCGTTCGTTTGGCGATTCTACCGAACCGATTTCAAAACCAAGAACACCGTTGGAAAGGCATTTTTCCGTAGATGAGCAGAGTTTTTATGGTTTCGCGATTGGTTGAAAATTACGGCCAAACCATCGTTTAAACATTTTCGTATTTGTGTATAGATGTTGCTGCAACATGTTCAATTTGATATGTTTCTCATGTTGTTTCACTTCACATTTGAAATTAAGCTTTGAAATAAAGATTAATATGAAGATGAAGAAATAAATGATAACGATGAAGTCAAAAAAAAGAAGGCAAAAGTGAAGACAAAGACGAAGACGGAAGCAATGACAGATACATAAGAATTAGGGTAACTGAAAGGGTAAGAACATTTATTGAATTTATGAAGTGAAACTTCTTTAGCGGCAGTTGGTTGGTTGGGAGTAAATTGTCAAATTCAAGGGGAATAATGCACATGGAAATGGTTCTAAGCGGTTTAGCGGTTTGAGTATAAAAACAAAAACAAAGATGCCTAGAGATACAGGCAAAAACGAAGATCAAGGTAAAGTTAAACACTTTGAGGTAAAGATGAAGAGGAATATGCAAAAATAAAGATAAATATGAAGAAAAGAATGAAGATGAAGATCGATATTCTTATCGATATAAAACTCGATATTATACATATTTTTATCGATATAACAATCGATATTGCTATCGATAAAATAATCGATATTATTATTGATACTGTTATTAATTAAATAACCGATATTGTAATCGACATAATAATCGATATAATAATCGGTATTGTTATCGATACAATAATGGATATTATTATCGGTATAATAATCGATTAAATAATAGATTTTGTTATCGATTTAGTAATTTATATTGTTATCGATATGTACAATAATCGATACTTATGGTTGTTATATTTATCGATCGATTTTGCAATCGTTGTATTTTTCTATATGTTAATGGATATTGTTAACGGTATTTTTATCGACACAGTTATGAACAGGGTTATCGATATAATAATCGGAACATGGAATGTGATCACATTACATGGCATCACATCACATTATATCACATGATATGAAGAGACATCACATGATTCACATGATATTACATCACATAATATGATATCAAATCACACGATATCACGTGACATGACATCATAGGATATGACATCACATTATATGCCATGACATCACAAGACTTGGCATCACATGATGTGACATCGTATGACATGACATGGCATTACTAGACGTGGCATCACGTGATATGACATCATATGGTATGACATCATATGACATGACATCAGAGGATATGACAACACATGACATGATATCCAATCACATCACATAAAATCACGTTACATCTTATCACGTCATCGCACCTCATCTCATCTACGTGAATAGAAAAAGAAAAGGATATAACCAAAGATGTGAAAGATAAAAACAAAGATGAAGACCAATCCAAAATTTCCGTATTTGTGTATGGTTGTTTTTGTAACCTGTTCAATGTAAGCTGTTTCGCATTTTGTTTTACTTCGTATTTGAAATTAAACTTTGAAATAAAGATAAATATGAAGATGAAGAAACAAGTGATAACGATGAAGACAAAAAGAGGCAAAAGTGAAGATAAAGACGAAAATTGAGATAAAGGCGAAAATGGAGACAATGAGAAATAAATAAGAATTAGGTTAACAGAGTTGAAATTTTCCGATAGGAATCGAAATAAAATCAGCCATAAAGGTTACTGAAATTTATCCAATCATCGAAGTTTATAATTATCGAAATTTATCCATGCTTATTAAGTTATCGCAATGTATCGAATTATTCAAACTGATCAATGTTTACTGAGTTGTCGAAATTTATAGACACAGAAACTTAGTTGTTCAAATTTACGGATAGTTGTCTAGTTAAAAAAACGTGTGGGATTAACGAAATTTGCTCAAGTTAAAGAAATGTATCAAGTTATCGATATTTATTGAAGTATCATTATTTATAGACTTAATGAAATTTATCGAGGTGTCGTAATGCACGGAGTTCTTTCAACTTACAGAGTTATCGATAATTATTGATCTACTGAAATTGGTTGGTTCAACGAAGCGAAGTTTATGGAATTTTCAAAATATATCGATTTATCGAAATTTCAAGGTTATATAAGCTTATCAATTTATCACTGCTTATCGAATTTAATCATCTTAACAGAGTGTAACGAGTTATCAAAATGTTTAGATAGTTTTCGAAAAATGTGGAGATGTCAAAAGTAAAAATTTATAAAGGTATCCGAAGTTTTTACATTTTTGAGTTATTGCAATTTATCAAGCCATCGAATTTCACAGTTATCGAAATTGGTCGAGTTAACGAATTTTGTTGAGCTATCGAATTTTAGTGTTCTTGAAATTCATCGAACTATCGATATATATCAAATCATTGAAATTTATCGATAAACTTGAATGTATCGGGTCAATTCCAAGTCCTGCCGAAGTCCTCCAAAGACCTTCTCAGATAAAAAAAATAAATTTAGTTACGTTTTAGCAGAAGATTTTCCGGTTATCTAATTTGTACCGTATAAGTTTTGCTACGTGTTAAGTTGGAAAACCTCTCCAAGGCTTCTAAAACTAGAAAAACTGTCGAATTTCGACAGTAACTGGCACTCTAGTGTATATTATTACTTTGTCAGAGCGCCGACAGCAAAGTTTAAGAAAGTACTCGCTTGCCGAGCTATGTACATATCTACAATCTGTATACATCTATACACACATATGTACTTATATACCTGCATATATATGTATGAATGTAACTAAAAATTTACATAGAAAAGCTACATAAGTCGAAAAGATTAAATTATATTTTTATATCTCCAATTATGTTTGCATATCTCCACATAAGGACAAAGTGACTAATTACGACGACAAAAATAGAAAAACAAAAGTCTAATACTCTTTATAAACCAGTCCACAATGCAACACACAAATTTTGACTTTTAACGCAACGCAGCAGCTTTAGCAGAAGCGCAAAGTTAGGTTTTCTATCGTGCGTCAAATTAAATATTTTTTTGTTTGAAGCTATGATAAAATAGTTTCGCTTGCCATTTTATTAACCGACTTCCAAAAACGGAGGAGGTTATCAGTTCGTCGGAATCTTTTTTTTTTTTTTTGTTTTTTTTTTTTTATGTATATTACCGCATAACTTTGCACCACGTCAACCGATTTCAATAATTCTTTTTGCAACGGAAAGGTAGTGTCTCAGAGGTGGTCCCATACTGATTTGGTTTAGATCCGATCATTGGATCATGAAATATATAGATATATATATATTTTTTTTAAGTCGGTTTTTTTTGCTAAAAATTACTTGTTCTTATTAACAACTAATAGTTTTGTCAACATGGAAAGTCAGGCGTATGTACTTTATTTTGCGATTTTTGGTAATATTATAGTTGTTTGTAAAATGGGTATAATACCTATTTTATAAATTGCCTTTTTTCATTGAAAAAATTTTGAAATTTTTATATTAGTGAGTCATAAAAAAAGTTTCAACGAGTACAGCCATTTCTCTTCAACAGTTCGAAAATTCAACAAATTGCCAATGTAAAAATATCACGATCTCGTCCCCCCCTTTTCCCCCTTCATTAAATTGAGCATATTTTTCTTAAGTCGTATAATTTCGAGATTGATATCAAATTTTCAAAATTCAAAATGGCGGATACAATATGGCGGAAGATATCTTAAAAATGTATAGATTGTTATGAAGCTTGGTATCCAGAGATTTTCGTCATCACTGGTTTCGAAATTGATATTAAATTTTTAAAAATCAAAATGGCGGATCCAATATGTTATATATTATCGTTTGTTATGAAACTTGGTATTCAGAGATCCTCGTTATCTTTGATTACAAAATTGAAATAAAATTTTCAAAATTCAAAATGGGATCAAATGGTGCTAAAGGTAATGCATTACGTTCAAAGTAAAACGCCTATTGTTTGATCCGCCATTTTGAATTTTTGAAAATGTAATATCAATTTCGAAATCAGTGATGACGAAAAGCTCTGGATACCAAGCTTCATAACAATCTATACATTTTTTAATAAATCGTCCGCCATATTGGATCCGTCATTTTGAATTTTGGACATTTTATTTAATATTCGAATTCAGTGACGACGAAAATCCCTAATTACCAAATTTTATTGAAATTTGTCAAATACATATGGAGTTTACACATTTTTGAAGAAATCGTCCGCCATATTGGATCCGCCATTTCGATTTTTGAAAATTGAATATCAATTTCGAAATCAGTGACGACGAGAATCTCTGGACACCAAGCTTCATAAAAATATTGAAATTTTTTAAGAAATCGACCGCCATATTGGATCCGCCATTGTGAATTTTGCAAATTTAATTTATTATTTGAAATCAGTGATGATGAAAATCCTGAAATACCAAATTTCATTGGAATCTGTCAAATACAGTAAACATTGGGAGTAAACATTTTTGTCGTCCTATATTGTCGATTCGTCTCTATGTGATCTCCTAGATTACACCTACAAACTTTTACATTTCTACCAGAGGATGTACACACAGAACTGAAACTTCTGGTTGAACGAAAGAATATAATCCGCTGAGACGTACCTACCTAACTATGAACCAACGACGATTTAACGCGGCTATAAATAGTGACAGAGAAACAGACACTATTCAGAACAAAAAATGACACTGAAGGTAGCACAACGCCGAAACCGGTTTGTCTCCAAACCAAATTTGACAAGGGATGACGGAAAATCGTTCCACATTACATCAAACTCCTACCCTGTCGGAAACACCAACAACGAAAATGAGAACTTTTCCATTAGGTTTTAAATAGCCTAGACTTTTTACCTCTTCTGTGATCATCGATGGTTTTACAACTATCAATTTCGCTGCAAGCCTCCTTTAGTTACTTGTTAATATGTATGTATGTATGTGGTTGGGGCTACCTGTTACGCCGTTGCATTCATGAGTTTTCACTAAATTTTATGAATTGCTGTGTTATTAACTCAGAAAATATTATTTGTTCAATGTAGAAATTCACAGAAATTTAAACTTTACACTTAAATCAAATTTCACCAACTTTTTTCTCGTGTATTTTATGAGCTTCACCAACTCTTTTCGTATGATCAATCAAAGAGAGTTTCAGACATATTTTTGCGTGTGAAAAAATGTTAATATACATACATATGTATATTGCTACCATTCTTTTAAATAACCTAAGGAAGTTCGCGATTTTAACATAACAACATCTGACCGGTATGTTCTTGCGTTTTAAGTTGAATTAAAAAAAAAAAAAACGATTTATTGCCAAAGCAAACAGTGTATACAACATGCACCAACATCTACCACAATACCACAAATTTTAACGTGTTCGAATCAAAAGTTTGGCCACAAATAAATACCGCACCGTGTAAAGCTTTCGACGGTTACCGGTGTTCTCGCGCTCGTCTCTTGGTGTTATGATAGCAACTGACTTACACTTTGAGTGATCGTTGATGTACTAGGTATCAGCCTTTGACCAACATATTTGTGAAAATATCAGAGAAAACACCAACAAGTGGGCCCGCAAACCTATCTTACACCGAGCAAACATACAAAATTGAGAGTAACAAGACATTTAATACATGTGTACCCAATAAACACAACGAATTCGACGCGAACTCGTTTTCTCTGAAAGAACTATCGAGACGATACTTCGCGACGATAGATCGCCGAATTCGAATTCGTAGGAGAGTCACCTATCGTTAGCGAATCGAGTGTTGCTAGTTTTTCGAATCGTTGGCGATTCGAGAAATTTTTTCTTCGAATCGCTGGCGAATCGAGAATATTTAATTCTTCTAATCGTTGGAGATTCTATAATTTTTATTTTTCGAATCGTTGGAGTTTCTATAATTTTTATTTTTCGAATCGTTGGCGTTTCGAGAATTATTGTTTTTTCCACTCAAGATTTCAGCTTGCTGGTGTTTTGAGATTGCAAGTTTTTTCGACACAAGAGCTTAAAAATCTAGCTATCTGAAATGAAATCTATAATATAAATAAACAAAAAGTAAAAAATGTACGAAAATTATGAGTTATTAATGAATTTGTTATAAATATGAATTCGTATTTAATTTTTAACATCAATAAAAATTAAAAAAAAAAAAATGATGTACATTTCATTAACAGAAATGCAATAGCAGCAGAGGATGTTTCGTTTTCTCGGGATATCAGAAAATGTGTAGCAAATAATTTAACATTAATACGCACCTCAATATGTAAATACCCATTTCACGAAATAACCAAGGTTTTACATATCACTTTAAATGCAGATATTTACTTTGTTCCGTTGCTGCATTAAATAAAGCCGGCTTACTAAAATAAAATGTAAAGAAATTGTATTTGTTTTATTTTCCTAACAAAGAATATTTTCGAAAAAACTATTTCCTTGATTGTGCCTCGAGGACGATGCAATAAAAAAAAAAATCTTTCGAGAAAACTGATTTACTCGAGCTTGCCTCGAATGCGAAACGAGCCCAAAAAATATATTCGAGAAATTTATTTTCTCGAGTTCGTCTCGAATTCGATACGATGCCACCCTCGCTTTTGTGTTTATTGGGTATGTAAAAAGGTAAATGCAAAAACACACTAAATACATGTATGTATTAGTATAGGTATGTATGTGCAAATGTATGTATATACTTTAAAATATATAAATAAAGTACAAATATGCATACATATGTACATACGTACACTCACGCTTTTATTATATTTAGGTATTTATGTATGAAAAAAGTTGAAAATGATTTGAACTGAAGTACTTACAATATGTACCAACTGCAAATATATATTACAGGGCATATGTATGTGTGTCGGCATATATGTACATATGGATGAGTTCGTGTTCGCGATATTGGTAAACGCTTAGAGAGCATGTGGCTATACTCAAACTCACCTTTCTCGTTTATCATTAAACTGTATATTCACCTCGTTCTTATTTGTCATTCCGTAACCAACTTGTTGCTGGTCTCTCCATTCATATCGTTCAGGTGTAGTAAACATATACATACATACATATGTATGTATGTAGGTGCTTAAGTTCGCATGCATATCTGCATAGGTACATAAATATATTTTAATATTTTTATGTGTACATATGTATGTATATACTTATATGAATATATTCTGTGTTAAAAATATATGTGTGCATACATACATATTTATGTACAAAAATATATTGATTCCCAAGCCTTTCTATAGCTTAGTCGAGAGAAACCCACCGAGAGTCATTTAGACCACATAAATACATTCATCTGTAGTATGTATGTACATATTTATGCATAGAGTTTCCAACTGCCAGAAGAGGTTGAACAATATTTTTTAATTCGAGCTACGGTATATTTTCAGAAGACCTGATATCCTCAGGCAATATGGATGTTATAAGTAGTACAATGAAACTGTGTATACACATACATATGTATGTATGTACCTACGTATAAATTTAAAATAAACATGCAAATGCGAGTATGCACTCGAAGTCATATGTACATATTTACCTATGTTCATATGTATGCATACATATATACATATATGCATCCATATGCAAGTATTTCATTAAATGTAAGTATTATTACTGCTGTTATTACTGCTGATATTACTATCTGTACACCTGAGCAACCACCATTACCTACTCCTCTGAAAACGTGATCATTTTCTTATTCTCTTACGCACGACTATCTCTTTTACCAACTAAGGAACGTAAGAATGAGCAAGGTTCAGCTGCGAAAGATCATATAAGATGTATGTGCATATGTATGTACATGTTATATATTTAAAGTTTCCAACACGCACATTTGATGTGAGACAGTAATTCAGTATGACTACGTCATTATTCGCTATTTTCTCTATTCATGTTGTTGACGATTGTGTTCACATCTACTAACGGAACAGGTATTTTCGGCTTGGAGGATGATGCACTCTCTCTCTCTCTGCGCTCAATGTATTTAACTAATGGCTCTGGGAATGAGTTTGAAGCATAAACAAACTAGAAACCGTTTTTTT